TGTTTCTGGATCTGTTTTGTTCATCGGTTTATTTCATTCATCAGACTCCACGTATGAGTGAGATCCCTTGACACTTGTCTTTCTCCGCCCGGCTTATTTCACTTAGCGTAATACTCTCTTGGTCCCGCCATGCTGTCGCCTAGGGTAAGGGATGGGCAGGAGGGTGGGGGGAGATTAACCTAAGAACTTATATGCACATATGTACAACCCTTGGACACAGACAGTAGTGGGGTGAAGGCCTGGGGGGAGGCATGCATGGGGGAGGGGATCAATGGGGGGGAGGGAGCATTTGTAATACTTTCAACAATAAAGATAAATTTTAAAAATTCAGAGAAGGAGGAAAATGTAATAAAGGGATGAGCCCCACCTACTTCTTCCTTTGAAAAATATGAAATAAGAATACCACTCCCTCACAAATAAAAACACATTTTAAGCCCAACCTTTCGGATTCTCCCTTTTTATTCGAATTTGCAATAAGTGAAGAAAAGATTCCACCTAGAAAACAATCCCAGCCCAGCCAGGTGTGGCTCAGCTGTTGAGCATCGAGCTAGGATCCAGGAGTTCTCGGTTCGATTCCCGGTCAGGGCACATGCCGGGGTTGTGGGCTGGATCCCCAGCAGGGGGCGTGCAGGAGTCAGCCGATCAATGACTCTCTCATCACTGATGTTTCTATGTCTCTCTCTCTCTCTCTCCCTTCCTCTCTCTGAAGTCAATAAAGATATATTTAATAATAATAAAAAAAAGGAAAACAATCCCATACCTGTGCTACTCCAGCCTGCCTGTCTCTCTGCTTTCATCATGGCTCCTTTCCAAACCTCACGTGGTATAATCTGAACCATGGGTTTAGGAGTCAGGATTTCGTAAATGCTAGGCAGGCTGGCCCTAATATTCATCAGATCCCTACTTCACGTAGACTCCTCAGACCTTTTAGGAACAAGGACTACACAGGAATGAATTTCTGCTCCCATAGAAAACAGAAAAGTAATGAAGTCTGCAGAGCCCGTGGGCACGTCCCTTGCCTACATCCACAGAATGAGGGACTTGGGCTAGAAGACTCTAAACTCCCTCTAGCTCTCCATTCCCAGGATCTCACAAGTCTGTCCAAGTCCTCTTGAGCATCTGCAACGGCCAGCACAATGTTAAGCTGAGTCAACAGGCTGCTCTTTACCTGAAGAAGCATTTGTTACACACCTGATCTTGGGGATCAATCATCAAAGGCCACCGTCTCCCTTGAGTAACCAGAATGCCATTTTCCGTTGATATCAAGTCGCGGGGCAGCCCGTCCGTGTTCCACTGCCGTATTTCGTAGGGATCACCAAGAATGTTGATGAGACTGAAGGAAGGATCGATGGGGATCTCCAGAGACTGACAGTCCTGGATCCAACACTCTATCAGCTGCAAAGGAAAGTTTACTTGTATGGAACAGAGACCCTCAGTAAGTTAGCGCATGCGCGCGCGCACACACACACACACACACACACACCGTCGGGTTAGGAGTAAGCCCTGCCAGGCTCCACGGGCATCCTGGCTCAGACCATGGGACACAGGAAGTAGACTAAACACCAGGACATCTGGGTCCTTTGGACATGTCATCACCCTGTCTGGGCCTCAGTTCTCTCATGTGTAAATGGCAAGGTCTGTCACAGTAGCCTTCAATCAGGGGTGCACTGCCCCTTTTTGAGAGAGTCTGGAAGCATGTGGAAAAGTTGGGGTTAACACAGTGAATGTGGGAGCTCCTAGCAATTAGTAGATGAGGGAGAGGGATGTTAGCATGTCACCTCCTTCAACGAGTGGTACAATCGTGCACACCAGAGAACCGTCTGTCCCCCAGGAGCACCACTGGCACCACTGCTTGCAGGCACCCGATGATCCCTGGGCTCCCGTGGAGTCTATATGGGTCCTATGCTCGCTAGGATTTGTAACTCAAAGACAAGGGTGAAACATTTTTAGGAAGGGATTTTGTAAAAATGGCTTGAAAATCACTCCCGGTAAGTTCGATTCCTGCTCTTTGCATCGCCTAGCCCTCAGACGCAGCCTCACCAATTCAGAACACTTCATCCTGGCGGACTTTAGATGCCACTTCTGATCATAATCGTAAGGGTCCCCCTGTCCCCTTTTCTTTCCCCCAGGTTCTTGTGCTGTGTATGTCAAGTGAGGAATAACTTTCTAAGGCAGGGAAGGCAAGGGAGGGATGTGCTAAGGAAAGGCCAGGGGTAGACCATCACCGGCTGATGGGCGAGGCGAGGGCTGTGGTGGTATAAATAAATAAATTTCCCGGTGGAGAAGCTCCACAGTGAGTAGCCTCCACTTAAACTCAGAAAAATGACCCCCGTTCTCCTTTCGCCCGCCCACAGCTTCAGCCGCTTCTCACGGCTCCTCCGCGAAAGCGAGTGCGCTCACCAGCTGCCGGTACTGGGCCGTGAAGGCTCCGTAATAGGCCACGCAAGCTGCGGCTATGAACACGTTCCCGATGACATTCGAAATCTCCTCGTCGAATTTCTCGATGGTCTCTTCCCATCGAACTTTCTCATCCCCCAAGGCAGCCGTCAGCTTTCCAGCACGGGCCAGGCGTGCTTTTGTCAGGGCCATGTTCTTTGCTAGAAAATGTTAGGAGAATCAGGTTATGTTATCTAACATTTTCCTAAAAGAGGAAAAGTGTCCTCACCTGCTTCTGTTTATAACGGAATCAGCATTATTTAATTACTCTGGCTGAAGGTAGCGCTCTCTCTGTGCTATCTACTGATTTATTTTCTGAATCAAACTCGTGTTACCACGTAACACGCCACAGGAGGAGTGGGATACACACAATCTCCAGTTCTCCTGGTTTTATACTAGAAGGCATTTAGCGTGAGAGTCTAATGGAAATACGTCCTGCATGTTGAATGAAAGCTGAGATACGACGGACTGCCCTAAAACTCTGCTTTTGAAAATCAGGCATTTTGAAAATCAGGAAATCAGGCATTTCCTGACCAAAATACATGCCCCGAATTACTCACTCAGGCTTTCTTTCTCATTCACGCTCCTGTCGTATTCATCTTGCAAGGCCTGTATTTGATCTTCCACTTGTTTTAGTAACGCTCGTTTTTCTTTCAGGGTGGCCATAGTAATGTCGAGTTCAGCCTAGCAAAATACAGCAAATATTTATGAACGGGCCCCCAAAGGAGGCCGGACTTGCCCATTTAGAATACTTTTTTTTTTAAAAGTAGGATTTATGTTCCCTTTGTCATGTAGTCAAAAATTCTGATGTGATACACAAAGTTAAAACGAATGTAAAACTGACTAAGAGAAGAGCAGAGGCAAACAGATTAAAACAAAACAAAAACAAAGCCCAGCAAAATGAATCCTAGCAGGAATTTAGAGAAACAGATTTACCAAGCATCTGGGGGGAATTAGTCACTACACTGGATTATCAACTTTAAATGATGAAAACAAACATACTATTCACTCAGTGGTGGAAACGGAGCTTTCCTAACTAGTTCTCCGGAGCAGGGGTCTGCGCACTGGGGCCTCAGAGGACACCATCAAGGGTGGGAGTACTTAGAAAAGGGAAACACAGAGCATCCTATCCTAGAGCTAAAAGGGGCCTCAGGAAGACTATAGGCAAAGCGAACAGACTAAGAACTCATTTCCCTTTTATGCTGGAAGAGGGCTGAATTTAGAGGTAATTTATGAAAAAATAATCTTTGCCCACTATTTTTTGAGAGAAAAACTAATCTCTAAGAGCACTGTTACTATCTATATTCTGTAGGGTCCCAGTGACATGCGAAGGGGAGCTTGAATGATGGGTGATCATGGCCTTTAATTCGGTAAAATATCACAACGCAGGTAACGTACCTGTGCGGCACGGAGTTTCTGTCTCTTGGGTTCGACTTCTTTGACCACCCGAGAGTACAGGTCCATCGCTCTTACCCACATGCACATGGACTTACATGCTTTGGACACTTTCTCTACTTTTTCGGGCACAAAATCAGGATTGTTAATATACTTTTGAAGCTTTGCTAATATCTGAGGCTTTATGTTTTCCTTGTCATATTCTAGAAGTCTTCTGAGAAAGTTGGAGTCCCCAAGAAGTTGCTTTGCTGTTGCCCAATCAGGCCTGAAAGACAGAAGAGGTAAGTTAATAGCACTGTCATAAAGTAACAGGGGAACAAATGAAATGTATTCCTTTGAGAACATTAAGATATTATCCCAATAAGTGGGTAGATTTAATCTTAATACTCTAATCCCCGCAAACAGTAGTTAGGTGCACCACAATTTATGGGCAGACAGGTAACTGGATGACTAATGATTCACACTACCCAGTTTTGGTAGGGAAAGAATTATAAAATTATGGAGTTTTAGAAATGTAAGTTTTAGAAAGAAAAGGAGTTTCATTTTTAAAATGCTCCAGGGACTCACATTTTAACTTTCTTTTCCTTAGTTTCGATCATTAAATCTCTTGCTAGGACACGGCAATCACCTAACTGGTTTTATGTCTCTCAGTCAACCACACCTCCTGTGCACTTTCGCCAGATTGGTCTTTCTCACATGAAAATCTGGTTATGTTCAAATGTTCAATAGTTTTCAGTCCCCTGAGGCCAGGGCTCTCCATCTGTGCTCAGGCGCTGGCCAGAGGGTCAGCAGGGAAGCCCTCTTCCCTTGCTTTGATCGGTTTTACATACAAAGGTTTCTTATAGTTTTTATTGAAAAATAAAAAGATATTATTAGAGAAAGTTTGAAAACTACATGTCTACAAGAAGATGAAATCTGAATTGCTTAGCACAGTATACGAGACCTTTTATGATGCAATCACTGCCTCCTGCACATCCCACCCACCCCATCCCATGAGCATCAAAGGTCCCTGGGCCCTCTCCACAGTCCCACTCTCCACCTGAGCATCATCTCTCAAAACCCCACTCACATCTCCCCAGGGGCACTCTTATACTCAGCACCCCTAATACTATGCAACTTTCTCGTGTCTTGAAATTAATATTTTTCACATCTGTCTCCCCAGCAGACTGCATGCGCCTTGCAGGGAAGAAATTTATACCTTCCATCATCCAGCACAAAACAGATGTTCAAAGAAAAAAAAAAACGCTTGTTGAATCAATTTGCTGAATGACTGCCCAAATCAACGAGAGGGTAGAGAAGAGAATGAACACGGAGAAAAACAGCAAAGAAATTCCACCAGGCGTTCTGGTAATACACGGCTCTGAATTACTCACTTGGCATTCAAGAGAATGGAAATGGCTTCCATAACGGTCATGACCATATCTGGGGGCTTTGTAAAAACTCTAATTTCAGATATATCGGCTTTATCTAAGGAATCCAGCGCTTTATTGGCAGCGTCGAGTGCAGGCAGAGCTTCTTCAAGGTCTCTTTGAGCGTCGTCGGCTATCGCTTGGGTTTCTTCGGCTTTCACTTTGGCCACTGCTTCATCTTCTTGCACAACGTTACGGACCTACCCATTGAAACATGACTGCTTAAGTGGTCTCAATATCTGAATTACAATACTTAAAAACAAAGCCAATGATGAAAGAGTGTTAGCTATACTGAATTTTACCCTCTCCTTTGTCCATGCCTTCCAGGATAAGAAGAGGTGCTTTATGTTTGTAGGGGGGACTTCTCTCACAAATCCCTGTGTACCACTCTTTGGGTTCATGCATTGTCAGGGAGAGGCCAGACTGATTAATTGAAGGGAGATTGTTGACAACTTAAAAGCAATGCTAAGTCTATCTATCACTTAGTTATTTTAAGAACATATAAAATAAAAAATTCAATCATTTGTCATTGTATGTAAGTGATCAGTTGGTGACCAAAGCTTTCTCACCCACGACTGTAGGTTACCCAGCATACCTGATCGGCACTTTCTTGATCCACTGCCAATTTGTCCATCAGGGCTTCGACATCTTGTGATTTTGTCAAAAGGATAGGTTCTAAAGCTGAAAGATCTAATTTCATCTTATCTACTAGTATGTTTGTTTCTAATAGCTTGGTGAGACCATTCTTTACCCGGTCACTTGCCTGGATGACAATAAAAATATTATAATGAGTATTATAAGCTATAATTTTACTGGCATCTATGACTCATGTAGTAGAATTTTACATCTACAGAATTGGTAAATCAGTTTGTAATACTTAAAATTGTGACTGTAAAGAAATCTTCAGGTAGCAGAACTCTAGGAAATGGCCATGACATTCACCACGGTAGGTCTGGACCCATGCCCCCTGGCCACCGGAGTGGCGCATCACTGGATTGTGGGCTCATTAAGGGCCCAGAATGTATTACTTTTATTTTTTATTTCATGCTTGGTAGCATGTTGAATGAATGAGAGACAAGTTCAGGCAGAAATTCCTGGAGGCAGCATCACTCAGAGCTGCGACAAGAGAAAAATTCCAAGATGTCTTAAATAAAATTACAACAGACTGGAGGGTGAGAGGATGAGACAAGGAAAGATAATCATTTAGAGGCCATAGGCCTAAACTAACAAAAGACTGCTCATATTCCTGAGTGTGTGTTGAAACTTTCAATCAACTTCTATGTGGCTATTTCAGCAACTATCTAGCCGGCCACCAGCATATCTTGCTTATGCTTGAACATTCTGGATTGTTGCCTAAACCAATCCCAAAGCATCAAATACTTCTTGATGTACAAGTCACCTATCCCAGAACTCTCCCAGCTTTACCTTCTCCCAACCCCCTTATCTGTAGCCAATGTAAATTCTTTCAAAATAACTTACATCTTTCTTCCCCAAACTCATTGTATAAAAGAGCCCCAAAGCCCTAGGACAGTGGACATAATCTCTTCTCCATCCAGCCCTGCTGCTGGTGGCTTAGACTGTGTGTCCCATGACCTGGTCCTTTTTCTGACTCGCATGTGGCTCAATAAAACCTTTTTCTCAAGACGACTTTCAGCCTCAAAGGTTTTTTTTAAACACTTGTTTCCTCAGGATGGTCAGCAAGGTTGAGAACCCCCAGGGAGACAGTGTCCGAGGTACTTCACTTTGGTTGGTGGATCTAAATCTTACTTTCCAGTGGTTGCAAACTTTTAACTAGGATCGAAGGGGCAGTATTTGGTAGAGAAGACACTCTGGAATAAAGTTTTGGAAGGTGAGTCAGAAAGCTTAGTTGAGATTGGCGGGTTTCAAAAATATCTGAGTTCTTTTACATTTACCAGGTAAAAGTCCACTGAAGAACATTTAAAATACATAAATCACAAATGTTTCCATTTTTACTGTGTTGAAAATTTTAGGTCATGTTAATAGCCTGACGATGATGATTGATGATGCTGATGCTGATGGCAGCCACTATTTTCTGAGTACCTCATATGAATCAGATCATACACCTAGCACTTCAAAAACAGTCTTACTTAAGTTTCACAACAACCCAAGAGGTATGTATAGATATTTTTAACCTTATTTTCTACTAAGACTTAGAGAATTTATAAAATGTGCTCTAGAGGCAGAGGAAAGAGGCAGAGCACTGGTTGTACATAGTCCACCCGACACTGAAGCTTTTGCTCTTAATGGGGACTACTGGCACATCAGACGCCCAAACTCCATCTCTGTTGCTTAACAAAAGTTTTCTGATGACCAGTTCTCTGCTTAACTCTGATGCTGTTAGATGTCCGTATCATTCTACTGAGTCAAAGACACTTAGGTAAATGATAGAAGACAAAACATAAATATCAAAGAAGGGGGAGACTTGCGGACTGACAGCATGAAACAGTTTTTTGCCATACTGTAGGTTGTCGAGGGCACTTGTCAGGATGGAGAGGGCTCCAGCAGGTGAGATGGCACACAGATCTTCCACTCATTCTGCCGAAAGTCTTGAGTTCAAGCAATAAAACTTAAAAAAAGGACTATATATATATTTGGTTAATCCTCACCTAAGAATATTTTTTCCATAGAGTTTAGAGAGAGTGGAAAGGAGGAAAGGAAGGTGAATGGGTGGGGGAAGAGAGAGAGAAACATCAACACATGTACTGCTTTGCCTCCTGCAGGCACCGGGGCCGTGATGGAGCCTGTAACTGAAGTACATGCCCTTGACCTGGAATCGAACTCACGACCCTTTCGTGTGCAGGCCAACACCCTAACCACTGAGCAACATAGGCCAGGGCTTAAATGATAGTATTAAACTTACTGAAATCAGCTGCTTCTTTTTATCACTGAGCATGGTCAGGTAGAGGTTGATGAGTTCCAGGTAGGAGGTGGGCGTGGTGTAGTACCGTCTCCGGAGCTCTGTGTAATAGCGTTCTGCCATATTGGAGACGCTTAAGTGAACATTCACGCACATGAGGGAAAGCTTTTCTTTTAGTTCATCACTTCCAATGCCAACATTTGAGAAAAATGTCTCTGATACAGAAAGAAGTGCTTCTTTGGGCCACTGTAAATACACAGTTTGGAAAATCTGTTGTTCCTTTCCATAATATGCAATTTAACAGGTAAGAAAACTGTGTATTTCTAGAACTTTCCCTTACCGTATCCCTCCCCCCTTTCACCTGTTTAACTCTTACTCATGTCTATGATGTTTAATGAACTGAATGGCTGTGCACATTAGAGAGGGGTCAGGGTCTGCATTTGCTGTCCTCAGCACAGTGTCTGGCACATAGCAACTGTTCAATGAGTATTTGTTGATTAATGAATAAATAATTAGGTGTTTCAGGGCTAATTCCATGAATAAAATCACATATATTACAAGAACCTCATGTGCTCACTCCGTTTATTATGCAGTTCGGACTTCAGGTCCACTATTATAAGCACTGTCCTGTTCACTCAACTCCTTTGCTCCTCTCTTTTCGTTGAGCTCACCTGAACCTTAGTTAAATGCAACTTTCTGTTACCCATGCCCATGACTGCAGCTGAGCATGGTGGAGAAAAACACAACCATGCTGACTGGGCTCACTTTAAATTCATGGCAACTAGCTCGAGCAGGTTCTTAGTGCAACCCAAAAATGCTTCTACATTTTCTAATGCATCCTTAATGTACTCTCCTAGATGAGTATTTTACACCTTCTACTACCTTCTCAGACTGTTAACACTTCCTCATTTCTCTTCATTCTCAGTGATGATCTTGCTTCCCACATAACTTAAAAAAAAAGAAGCAATGAAAACAGAACTTCAATGAATTCCCATCTACCTGCATCTGTACTCATATACTCTGCCTTCCTGGTGCTCTGGGGTGAGTTGTGTATGCTCCCTGCCCAAGTCAGCCCCTTCATTGATGACTCAGTGCCATCCTTTCTTGTCTGCTCAAAGACATTGGTCCAACAATGCTTAACTCCATCTGCTACACCATCAATATATTTCTTTTTTCTGGATGATTTCTATCATGTGCAGCACACACATGTGCTGTTTGTGTTTCTCACTTAAAAATGCTTTTCTCTTCACCACACATATCCCTCTAGCTATTACTCATCTCCTGGTATTCCTTTAGGGCAAAACTTCTAGAAAGTGTTGGCAGTAGTCCCCCCTTATCCATGGGGGATACCTTCCAAGACCCCCATGTATGCCTAAAACTATGACTTGTACTGGACCTTATACATATTACTTTTTTTTCTTATACATAAAAATGCCTTTGCACTTTAAGGAAGCACATAATGGCTTCTCTTTGGCATGCCTGAACTGCCAGCATCACTACTACGGTGTTTTGGGGTCATTATTAAGTAAAATAAGGGTTACTTGAACGTAAGCACTGTGACACCTTGACAGACCTGATAACTGAGACAGCTACTAGCTGACTAATGAGTGGGTGGCATATACAGCGTGGAAACGCTGGACACAAGGGAACAAGTCATCTCCCAGGAAGGACAGAGCAGGATGGTGTGAGATTTCATCATGCCACTTAGAATGGCATGCAATTTAAAACTTACAAATTATTTACTTCTGGAATTCTCCATTTAATATTTTTGGACTGAGGCTGACCCAGGGTAACTGAAACCATGGAGAGCAAAACTGTGGATAAGGGGGGGCTACTGTGCCCATTGTGTCCGATTCCTCTTCCTTCCTCTCTCTTGGACCTTGCCTCCCAGCACTCCACTGAGACAGCCCTTGTCAAGATCACTGGCTTCTGCATTGCTGAAGGCAACAGCCTCCTCTTCCTATACAAATTCTGTTCTGCCTTTGCTTGGTAATTGTCCTTGTCATCTCTTGCACATAAGTAAATTTTTAGAGGGCTTTAAAGCTAATGCAGTTTACTCCTTTAAATTCAAGTAAGTACAACTACTCAAAGACATATCCTGGGAAGTCACCAACCTGGACAAACCAGTCAATGGTGCAGCAGTTCACAAGGGATGGAAACATCCGGCATCGGGACCGGAAGGCCTCCCCAACCGGGCTCATACAGAGGACAATGTGCAGCTTCTGACGGACTCTGTTGATAAAGTATTGAAACACCTGGCCAACAACAACAACAAAAAAAGAGAAAGATACTTTTTCAATTTAAAATAAGGATGAAGCAACAATAAAAGCAAGAGTTGTTTAATGCATCCAAGTCTACCGATATCAATTTAAAAATGTCAGTGGTGCCCGGCCGGCCTGGCTCAGCGATTGAGCATCGACCTAGGATCCAGAAGATCATGGTTCGATCAGGGCACATGCCTGGGTTTCGGGCTCGATCCCCAGGAGGCAGCCCATCAATGACTCTCTCTCAACATTGACGTTTCTCTCTCTCTCCCTCTCTCTGTCTCTCGTCTCTCCCCTTCCCACTCTCTCTGAAATGCAATGAAAAAAATATCCTGGATGACGGTTAAAAATTTAAAAAAATGCAGTGAAGTAAATGTCTAAATTATTTTGTTTAACAGTCATTCCAACCCCTCTCTCTCGTGCAGTCTGGGAAGACTAAAAATGACATTTTGCAGACTCCTTTGCACCTATGGTTCTGGGTGTGATGAGGATCTTCCTCACCAGTGCTTTCAGGGAGAGCCCTGGAACAAGTGGAGGGAGGTTTTCATACAAGGCTTCGCTCTGGGGTAGAGGACCCTTGAGGGAGACAGACAGGGTGCGGGGCAACACTCTTTGCAGGTGCAGAGCCTGGTAGAAGTGGCCTGGACCTGGAGCCACTATCTCCAGACGTGGCTCCCGTCGGAGGAAGCCACTGAGAGGATGTGACCGCCGACTGAGCCATCAGCTGGACCCCCTCCCTTGTCCTCAGACTGCACGTTCCGCCCACTGTTCCCACAGTGAGAACCATTTTAAGGACAAAGTCTTGAGAGAGCAATGTGTTGTTGAGAAGATCTGGACAACAGACATGACTGAACCCAGTTGAGTCCTCTATGTAATGCAAACTTTTAAGATTCTGGTGGGCAGTGTGGAGATCTACTAACCTTGCAGATGCCCAAGACAAAGGCCCCAATGAGTAAGTTCTCTTGCCTATTAAACCTGCCACCTACCAATCAGCAGTGGTCCGCCCCCTCCTTCAGTCTCTCCTTGCTCTCTGCATACAGGGGCCAGTTTCAGATGCCCCCCAGGGAACTCCAAGGTTGTGAACCGACAGCTCCCATTGCCGCTGCTTCCTGACAGGGTGAAGGGTGTGTGGCTTTGGAGCTGGCCGCTGAAGCAGCGGCGCGCGCTCGGTTTCGTGGCTTCCTGGCTTCCTGGCTCTGCAGGAATGGGGGGCAGAGGCGGCAGCTTCCTTGACCATTGACTTCTACAGTGTGCATTTCACATTATTCCAAGGAAGTCAGCCAGGAATCCTTTTCTTTGGCCCTCTTGGGGATTGTGTGCCTTGAATAAAGCCATTTCTGCTCCCATTAGCTGAAGTAGGCCCTGCTGTCTGCACCCGTAAGCCCTGACCTAGCAGTAGATGAAAGTCTCATGAAAAGACACAGAAAGACATGAGAAAGAGTGGCCATAAAGTTAAAGAAGGTGCCCAAAGAAAAAGAAGTGGGGTTGACAAATAGCAACATGTGGAATCTAGCAGAGTGTTGGAGAAATGGAAGTAGACAGCAGCTGTGTTGAGAGAGAGAGAGGGAGAGAGAGAATGTGCATTTCTGTTTTAGCTGTGCCATAACCTTGCCGATAGGCGAGGGAGTCAAAAGTACTGGACCTCAGGCAGGGCACCGAGGGCGTGTGAAATATATCTGGACAAGACTATGACCTCCATGGGGGCAGGGTTTCTGCTTTCCATGGACTTCTTTGGGAGTCTGGTGAACCAATGCTTTGAATGCAGGATATTAAATATCAAGAATTACTATGGAAACCAATTATACTGAAAAAGAAATTCTATCCACAGACTCCTTAAGGAGATTTGTTGACCATTTTTTAAAGAGACTAAAACAATTTTTTTGTTTGTTTTACAAAGCTGTATAACCATTCTCACATGTCCTACCTCATCCCTATTGCCCTCGGAAATTCCGACTTCTTTTGCTCTTGGTCTGGTGGCTGCTAAAACCTGCTCCAGTTCATCTTTTTCAAATAAATTAGGCACTTCACCTGAGTTCAAAATGTTATTTATATCTTCTAGGAACTCTTCCACGACAATCTGGAGAAGAAAACAGTGATCATTATAACTCATTCAACTGTTTTACATTGATTACATGTAATTATAAAGCAAATATTTGATCAAGATTCACATTCAGTTAATTTCATCTTTAAGAGAAGATAATCTTAAAAATTAAATAGATAGAATCTTTTTTTTTTTTTAAACCTCACCGAGGATGTTTTTCCAATTGCTTTTCAGAGAGAGTGGGGGAGAGAGAGAGAGAAACATCGATGTGAGAGAGACACATCGATTGGTTGCCTCCTGCACGCACCCAGGGACGAGCCTGCAACCGAGTTACGCACCCTTGGCCGGAATTGAACCCGAGACCCTTCAGTCCACAGGCTGTAGCTCTAACCACCGAGCAAAACCAGCCGGGGCTAGAGAGAATCTTAATATTCTAATATAATAAGTACATTGCTTTTTGGCATTCATCTTTTACATGGCTCAGGTCTGCGTGCAAGCATTTTATAGTCTGCTCCTTTCAGCTAACATTTTATCCTAAATATTAATCCATAATTCTGTAGAGCACTCATCACGTTCACAACCATTAACGGGAACATAATACACCATTGAGCTGCCGTGCCATACATTTACATAAGCTTAGATGATTTACAGCCTTATTTACATCATGAGAACATATTTAGGCCCATAGCTTCTCTCCCTAGTTGGATTATTTCATGGGGATAAATTCCCAGTAGTGAGATTAGCAATTAAAATGCATGAATATTTGCTGGATTTTGAAGATTTAAAAATTTCCTATTCAATTCGAGTATGACTTCATTAACCTTTAACACACAATTTTGTTAATTTGGGGAGTGTAAAGGGTTCCATTAGGCGAATTTAATTTTCATTCCTTTTATTATTAGCAAGGGAAAATATTATTCCACATTTATTATTTTCCATTAAAAAACCTGTTGAAACTATGTAACCATCTATATACAGATGGTCCCTGACTTACGATGATTCAACTTACCATTTTCCAACTTTACAATGGTACGAAAGTGATATGCTTTCATGAGATATTCAAATTTATTAACAATAGGCTTTATGTTAGATAATTTTGCCCAATTGTAGGCTAATGTAACTGTTCTCAGCACATTTAAGGTAGGCTAGGCTAAGCTATGACTTTCAGTAGGGTAGGTGTATCAAATGCATTTTTAATTTATGATATTCTCTGCTTACAATGGGTTTATTGGAACTCAGTCTGCCAAGATCCAAATGCTGATTGTTGCAAGTCCCCTGACCTCCCATCACATTCCCAGTGGCCAAGGCCTGCAGATTCCCCCGCAGTCCCCAAGAGGTGAGACTGGAGGAGACTCCCAAGAAGTGCTCCACATGCAGTGCAACCTGGAATTCCACCTTGGCTCTCTTTTCTCATTGAAGGAACGTAGGCTCAGGGGAGGCCTCTTGGTGTGATGCTGCACCAGTCTGGGTGCCGAGAAATGTGGTCAGCATATAGCCACTCTTATCACCTTTTAATGCAGTCCGTCTCATCTCTGTGGTGCAGAGGGGTTTTTCAGTCTCTGCCCCTTGTTCTAGGGTTTTCTCAGTGGTGTCCTGTCCATGCATGGTTGATAGTTGTCTTTTGTGAGATGGAGTAAAATTGGGAACAACCTATATCGCCATCTTGGTGATGTCTCTCTCCGTAACTCTGTTCTGATATTATTTTCCTGATAATGTTAAAATGTTTATCTATATTCTCCTGTAGCTCTCTTAGCATCTTCAGAACATGTATTTTGAATTATTTGTGGGGCAGTTTGTGGATCTGCATTTCTTTGGGGCCAGTCACTGGAGGTTCACTGTATTCTTTTGGTGGAGTCCTGTTTCCCTGATTCTTCATGATCTCTGTAGCCTTCCATAGGTGTCTGCACATTTGAGGATGCAGTCACCTCTTCCAGACTTTACAGACTGGCTTTGGTGAGGGAAGACTCTCTCCTGTGGGTAGGGGCATGCTAGGGCATGCTGCGACCCCGGGTCTAGTAGTATAGTACAGGATGGCAAGTGCAGGGGTGTGTGGTGGCACTGGGTCTGGGGTGGCAGTGTTATGCCTCTTTGGCTCAGGCCACTGGCATCCATAATATCGACAATTATGTGTATCTTGCCTAGCACTGCAGGGGGTCTGCAGTGGCTGCAAGGGCTATTGGGGTGCTCGGTGGTGCCCGTAAGTCCTGTGGCTAGGAACCAGGGCAGGCATTGGTGGTGGTCAGAGCCAGTGATGGGCACACATTCGACTATGGGTTGTTTCTCATTTGTAAAAAATATTTACATACTCAGATATAAACTGACTGTATGACACAGATGTTAAAAATTTTTTTCCCCATTTTATGATTGGACTTAATCCCATTCACAGTGTTTAAAAAAGTAAAACGAACTTAAAATATTTATGCATCAGATCTATTGCTTTTTTATTCCCTGGTCAATTCCTATAAAGTTTTTCCCCCCCAGTGTTAAAATATGCAAGTGTAGCAAATGTAGAAAATTCTCTACTATAAAATAAATTTGAGATCAGTGAAAATGGTTGTTGTAGACATAGATGTAAATCCTATTCTAATTTTAAAGTTAATTTAACCCTAAACATAGCTGTTATCTTTTCCTTTTCTTGAGTAAAGCCTATTTCCCTGCCTGATTTCACTTAGGGAATTGCTTTCTTACATTTACCTCTACAGAAACAATTTATTACCTTCTGTGTCTACAGTCTTCCACTCAAAGAAAAGTTATAATCACTCTCACTCCCTTAACCTCTGATCATATTTACTTAGAATTTAAGGGGGGAAACAACAGTTGGTAAAATAAATTAAAAATGTGCTATAAAAGTCTTTTACAAGATCCAAGAAATTTGTTACCAGAGGGAACAGTCCCTGAACTGCACCGTCTAACTATCCGAGCACATACGTGGCTGTAACACTCCTGTTGTCACACCTGGGACCCTGCCGGATGTACCTGTGTGTCCGTGAAGAGGAAAACCATGTTCCTGTCCTCCACGCCTGCCAGTCTGTACAGCTTCCTCAGGTCTTCGTGAAAACTTTCATAGTTATACCCCCGGCTCAGTTCAATCTGGAAACATCTGTAGCCACATATGTGGGCTGCGAGCCTGGTCAGAGACTGCTTCCCGGTGCCCCCGACGCCAACGAGCAGGGCGTTGCCTCTTTCCTGACGGATCATGCGGGCGATCCTGCGGGAAGCAGAGAGAGTGTCGCTTGTTCTCGGAGGCCTGCCCCAGCGAGCAAGGCTGGTGGCCAGCCGAGCGCCACCCCGAGCAAGGGCCGCAGGGAAGGGCAGGGGTGTCTGAGGCTCAGGGCTGGGAGGCAAGGGCTGCCGGGCTTCCCTTATATCCACCTCTCCCCCGTTTCCTACAGGCTGTTGGCCTTGGGCACACAGATTCAGAGCAAAGTAAAATCTCTTTTCCCTTCTTCAAGATGTGGAGAAGTTGTCAAGAACCTGGCTGACCCAGGCCACTATTGTGGTAACCATTCTAGTGACAAGTCCAAGTCTCCTTTCATAAGGATGAGTATGCAGAAATATCACTGGACCGAGAAAACACACTGCAGCTCAGGAGGCGAGACCAAGCGAAAAATCTGAAATGCATTTGCTGTAAGATAGCAACAAAACTTTAGAAATTTTCTGATTCATGTTAACAAGAATTTAAAAAGCACTGCAACCGTGATATTAAAGTGAGCACCCAGAAAAGGAAACAAAATCCGAGTTTAGAAAAAATATTGTCGATGAAAGTATCTGACCACCAAACTGAAAACCTTAGTGGAAGATGGGCCTCACAAAGAGGCCGCCGCAGAAAACTGAACAGGTGAAGTAGAAGACAAACTCCAGGGCTTTACCCAGAACTCAGAGAAAAAAGACAATGACATTTGAATGACAAGAGAAAACGGAAGATGAGGACAGATCTGGGAGAAACAAATGGGATCCCAGCAGCCACACAACAGGAATTGCAAAAGGAAAGAGAAGAGGGAACAGAACTCATACTATAGTGACTGAAATAAAAGAAAAAGCCATCAGAGCTGACCCTACAGATGGGAAGACGTCACTGAGGGTCAGGAAAACCCCCCACAACAAACAATAAAGCGGGGAGTCAAAACACTAAATATTTTCTAGGAGATACATGAATATAAAATAAAATATGTGTGTGTATAGGTGTATGTACATAGGAATATATGTATCTATTTCATATATGTTGACATATATGAAGTAGAAATCTATATTTTAGACATAACTGAAAAGTTTGTAACCATCTAAAAAGCAGATGTAATAGATTACTCCCAAAGGGACAAGTAATTTTAGGCTGACCTCAGGCATCTATTTTACGAGATGTCATTCCATAACACAAAGTTACAGAAGGAAAGCTATCATGTTATTGCTCAGAGAGTAAGCCACCTGCCAACCCTTCCTAAAAGATTCCTTGAAGATATACAGAAAAGTGTGAGTAAAATAAAAAACTCAAGAAGGGGGAAAGGGTGTCAGTATGTAAGTGAGCAGTATGTGTATGAGAGTCAAGTCCATATACTATGATTACGATGATAAAAAAGTAATGATAATGTCAGTAAATTCTTCTTTAAAAGAAGATACAAATGTAAAAACAATTTCTCTTTTAAAAAATTATCGCCATTATCTAAAATCTCAGATTGGGTTATCCCAAATATCCCACCATAACTTTATTATTTTATTTTTTATTTTTAATATATCTTTATTGATTTCAGAGAGAGGAAGGGAGAGAAAGAAAGAGATGGAAGCATCAATGATGGGAGAGAATCATCGATCAGTGCCTTATATTTTAATAGAGAGATCTGTTCTATCATCCTTGCAATGTGGTGACAACTTTGGGGGCATTTAATGGCCTGGTGCAAATTGCCCTTTGAAAGCACAAGACTTAAGTAAAGAAATATTTTTCTCAGCTGGGAAAGTTTTTATCCAGTT